TTCATGATAAAAATCCAACAAATATTTTTTTTCCTATCACCATCTGAAAAAGGTTGAAGGCTTTTATGAAAATTATATTTGCAGATTGGTAAGTGCTGCATAATGAATTAAACCATTCATTTATTTGGTTTATAAATGTATTTGTATCTAAGATATACTCTTCTACTGATCCTATATTAATGTTTTAACTATGAGCTTGCATTGCTGCAAGTCGAGTGAGACAAATATTAAACACGTATAGCTCTGCTTTTGACTTAACAATAACATATAATATAAATTCTTCATAAACATTAGTCCTAATTTCCTTGAATTCTAATAAAATGCTCTCCGCTATTCTCATCTTCTTAATCAAGTCATCATGTTTTTGAAAAGTAATACATAAAATAGTTATACATTCTAATGAGAAAAAAAATTTGGAATAGCATTGAATCCAATAATTTTCTTGCTTCTAAGGAAAAATTTCTTTCAGGCCATTGTGATATATCAGTAATAGCAAATATTCGGCTCTTCTAACTCCATAAAAGCTGTTACTGCTTGATGGCGGAGACTCTATCTCGTAGGACAAGGTTGCAATTTCTTTCTCCTTGTTGGACAATTTCAGAATAATTATTATTTGACTAGAAATTTAAAAATGGTAGATAAATATTACGCCACTAAAAATTTGAAAATAATAAGATAATATTATGCCGGAGAACTTGAAATCGAAATTAATTGATAAACTTAGTGATGAATGTGATAATAAATGTAATTAAATATATATTTAATATGAGATAGGAATAAATATTAACAAATATAAATTAATATAGTACTGTGTAAATTTAATTCAAAACATTTCCATATTTATTAATTTATTTGAAAATAAAATTATTTGACTTGTAAAAAGTTGTTAAAATAACATATTTATATATTCTTATCAATTTTTACAAGTTAAAATTTTTATTTACAAACGAATTAAAAAATATGGAAATGTTTTCAATTAAATCTGCACAACACTCTAAACAAAAATATTTTTGAAAAATATATCCGGCATCTGCATTTTTTAGATTGGGGGGGGGGGAGCTGCGTACGCCAATGGTGTGCTCTGCTGCAAATTTTAAAACTACATCACTGAGTATACCGGACAAAATAAAATGTAATGCTAATAATTAAGCAAATTTATGTCATTTTTCTTCATAATTTTTTTTTATTAAGGACTTGGCTGGACAACTTGCACAAAATATATTTTACTAGCTGAGTAAAAATAATTATGGGCAGCGTTAAAAAATCCAATAAAAATTTTTCATAGGCTGGTTGGCCCTAGGTTATCCCGCGTCAACCTCTAAAGAGTACTACCCTTGTCAAAATGGAATAATTATTCGAACAAAGGGCCTCTATAATTCAGACAGACTCCTTGTCTTTTTGACTCAAGACTAAAGCTCTGCCAGTCGGGCTTGGACTTAAAAAATTTTTTTTTGCTTCTTTTATTAAAATAAAATAATAATTAAAATTTCTGGGATTGGGACAGAAATTAGTGATTTTTACTCATCTTTATAAATATGCATTTAATTTGTATTTTATTAAAAATCTTAGTGTCTAAAATAAATTTCAGGCTGAAAAAGTTGATAAAAATTTTGACTAAAAAAATTGAATTCAAAATCAAAGAATTATATAAATTTTGTATATGTTTAGATCGAAAAATATTCACATTTCATCACCTTTAGTCCTCCAAAACTGAAAATCAAGTAAAATATAAATTTTAATTAAATATAATTTATATTTGTTTGAATCCTCTTTAGACATTTGACTATCCTTAGAACCAGGAAAAGTATCAAGTAAGATTAGTTTATATTTATTTATTTGGTAATTTTAGTTACTCAAGTACTTACAAACAATGGAAGAAATCTTGGAGAAAGATGTTAATATATCTACATTTAAATGTTTAGAGGATGCTATAAACTATAATAATAATAAAATATGTGGATCTATAACATGGAATTCTTTTGTTAAAAGTTTTCCACACATATGCAAAGAGTATCAACAAACAATGATGTCTTTAAGGGAACAATTAATTGAAAAGTATAAAAACGTAATGGGAAAAGAGATAGATTTATTGATAAAAGAAGAAAATTTAAAGGACATTTTAAATAATTTAGATGAAAAAAAATTACTTATTGAACAAAAACTATCAAACCACCCCAATGATTTGAATCATAATTTGTCAACAAAAAAGATTATAGATTATAAAATATGTAAAATTTTAGAAAAAGAAAGGTCAAATTTATTGAACGAACTATATGATATTAAAGAAAATCGAATAGATATTGAAAATGAAATGAATTATAAGAAAAATGAATTGAAATTGAAACTAAAATTATAAAAAAAATCATTAAAAATAAATTGATAATTAGTGATTTATAAATAAAAATTGGTTAAATTTTATGATTATATATAATAAATAAATTATATTTTATATAAAGATAATATTTATTTGATCACACATTTAAAAATTTATAATATGTTTTATTATTTTTATATATAGTGTAGATACTTATATTGAGATATGATTTTTTAAATACTCTGCTAAATAAATCGTTTTGATGTTTTTTTTCTTCACAAAGAAATTAATCGTTTGCTGTTTTAAATTAATTACTATTGATTTATTAAGAAATCTATATTTTAAATAAAAACTTTTATAATACCCCTAGTCTCGATTCCTAGAAATATAAGAATCGAATATTTGAAATTTCGTATTTTCGAATCCAATAATCAAATTATTCGTAGGAATTGAATAAACCCTTATTCGTATTACTACGAATAATTTGATTTGTCGAATATTCGATTTAAAAATTAAATTCTTTAAAAATATTTTCAATCTGAAAAAGGGTAAAAAATATCAAGTCCATAAGGAACATGTTAAATACTAAAGAATATAATTTCGAATATTTACAAATTATTTTAAATAATTAGATTGAATTACAGAATTATTCGACAGATATTATTCTTATTCGTTCAAAATCAAATAATTTTTTTATTAGAATCACTAAATAAGAATGTGTTTTTTATCAGAACTGGAGTTGTAAGCTCGTTCTCAAGTTATAAACTCGAACGTTTTTTCAAAAGTATTTATTGTGAACTCGAGTCGTTTAATTCAGCCTCAAAATCTAATGAAAATATCTAAATTAAGAATTAATTTTACTTAGGAATAAATGTCAAATATATTTTATCTATGGATTCCATAGGAATTGCCAATATTTCCGGAGAGTCAAATTGTATTTATTCAAAACATCTCTAAGTCTTCTAATATTTTTTTACTATTATTTTCAAAACCCGGTCCTTTTTTTATTGAATCATGTCCCACTCTTTAATTAACCATAATTCTAAAAATAGCATGAGGAAAATAAATGTTTTTAAGATTGATATATATAAGAGACCTGCAGAGGTATCATTTGTACCCGTCCGGATTTTTTTCTAAAATATTTTTCGGCCCGATCTTTATTTTTTTCTTTTCGGCCCGGGTTTTTTTAAAAAAATCAGGCCCGGTCCATATATTTTTAAAATATTTTTTTGATTTATATAGCTAATAATGGCGATTTCAAATATTTGGTTTTAAAATACGGGCTTAGGGCCGGGCCTGAAAATCTCTGATATATATAAAACACTAGTATTTAATGTGCTAGAAGCTAATTTTAAAAAAAATTAAGGTTTTTATATTTTAAATGATATACTATAAGATAAAAGATGACCGTTTTTATATTTAACATACTATGTTCTTTAAATGGTTTTTAAATTCTTGAATAGTATTTTGCTTATTGTAAATTTAATATCAAAACGTTGTTTATAATCAATAGTTGCTTTATTTGTATAAAAAGTATATTAAAACTGCTCAGTTGGGAGTTCTTAGTTCTTACTCCTGAAGGGAATCGGTATTTAAATATTGTTTTTACCATTTTGAAGACGAAAATAATAATTTTGGAAGCAAAAAAATAATTTATTTTCTCTATTTTCGCACAATATATAGCAGCACCGAATAAACAATAAAAATATAAACTAATAATCTAAAATAATATACATTTATTTACTCGCGATAATATTAAAACTCAAAAAAACAATTAAAACTAAACAATAAATTAATAAACATATCTTTATTAATCGATAAAAAATATAACAAATATCAAAACCTCTAACTACCACAAAAAGTAGGGCTTGCCAGTCCACAAATTTTTTACCAATCTGATCCCGGTATTAATATTTATTCACCATCCATCTTTGATCCAATATCATAAAAATATTAATATTTTCAATTTTAAAAAACCAAATAACTTTCACGAGTGATTAAATTTCTTTTTTGATTCTCTAGAAGTTAATAAATTCATTTAAAATATTAGCAATCCATAGGTGAATGCAGTGTTGTTAAACAACTCCATTAAACCGATGAAAGGGCAAAATTAATAGCCAAAATATTATAACTAAGCCTCGAAATTTAGCCAATAAAAGTCCAAACTATGCCATCTGTGGGTAAAATCAATAAGTTTGTAATTTGGCCAAATCTTGAGTTAACCGTTTTTAAAAATTGGATAAATCGAGCCGTTAAACAATCCTTAATGTGACTCGTAAGATATTTTAAAATCCTTTTCTTGTTGCATAACAAAAAATTAACTACCTTTTTAAATATCACACACAACAAATAAATTGTATTTAAGTTCCTTTCATAATTTATATATAATATTATTTGTAATAAAAATTTTATATAATCATAAAAAACCAAAAAAAATAAAGGATCAATTTAAAAAATTGACTTGATCCTAATCTTTACAAATCGCGAAATATCGGTGCCGATAGATATTTAATATCGGCAGAGCCTAATAAAAAGAAGCCTATCTTGTTATTTTACTTTCAGGTTTCAAAATATTTGATAAAATTTCTTACTGCAGGATCTTAAACAAGATCCACTTCATACTCCTAATCCATCCTGAGCTATAAAATTTTAGACTTAGGCAAGAACTTCAATGATTATAATTTTATTTACGAATCAATTCCCAAGAAAAAAATATATATATCAACAAATAATTCTTTATATAAAAAAAAGCCACAAAAGTAATATTCAACTTGATTGACATTTTCTATAATATATTTTTTAATTTATATTATTTTATTTATAAGCTCGTCAGTTGCAACACTAACAACTTTCAATATTATTAATAATCATTAACTACATTTAGTAAAAAGTATTTGTATTTAATAATACATTGCTATTATCAAGAATTCATTGTAATTTATTTAAGTTAAGAAAGTGCGCTGAAAAAAAACAGAACAGTGATTGTTTTAAAGAGTGATCAAATATTATTGATAAATATAAAATTTGTTGTAAAAAAACGATTGTAAAAAATATTCAAAATATTTTTCTTAATTATCAACTCTTGGCATTTTTAAATCTCACAAACTTAATTCCTAGCAACTGCCGTAATTTTATAAGGTAAGGGACTCCAGGTTAATGATAATGTACCATCATCTATGGTATCTTCTTCGACTTTAATTTTAGGTGAATTATTATCATCCCCTTCAGGGAAACTTAACCGAAAATTGAGAAGCAAATTGGCAAATACCGTAAATATTTCGTTCTTCGCTAGATTTGAACCAAAACATGACCTAGGTCCTAATGTGTGTTATTAATAAAAGTGATATAAATGAATCTACAATAATATATACAGTGGGTGTTATAAATAATCGTTAATTATATAATTTAAAAAAAAATCAAATCAAAAAGTTTAGCACTTAAATGTCCTCAAAAAAATACTTTGTTCAATGATGCTAATAAAGCAATCATGCTGAAATCTATTAAAACGAAATTTTAAAAAAATGAATATATTTATTTACCTATAGAAAAGGGTATGTAGCTGGGCTTGTCATAAACAACTCTAAATTTTTTGTTGCAATCCTCTTCACACTCATTATCAGTGATATATTTATTCGTATCAGGTAAAAGTGGATCTTTGTTCAAACTTACATCTAAAATAGGACAAGCATCGCTTTTACCTCTGTGATAGGCGATACCATTATTATTACGAGGCTCATTTAATTCATCATTCTCATTTACTGATTCAAAAAAAATATAAATTTTAATTTAAAAAGTACATGAAAAATTGTTACTAATATATCCCTCAAACTTATTGGCATGCCCCATAAAAATATCAGGACAGGGATAACACTGGCTTTAAAATTTAAATTTTATTAACACAAATTTATGTCTTTTTTCTTCAGAAAAAAAACTCTTTTGGGCTGGGCCAGGAAACTTGTACAAAATTATAAAATAATCTAGACCAAAAACCTTTTCAAAAATTTATACGCATCAACCTCTAGTGTCAATTATAAAATGATGTCAAGGTCTACATATTAACCGAATATTTATTAAAATACTTTTTTCTTTAAACTACCTCCATTTTCATTCCTTCCTATGGCACATAAAAATCTTTCCGGGTTGAATACATAAGGTTCGGGCCAATACTTTGGGTCATGGTGAAGAGCCCAATGATTAGCTATTATTAACGATCTTTCAGGAATCAAGTATCGCCCAGTAAAAGAGTTGATTTCCTTTGTGTTGGAATGGAAAAATCCCAAAGGTGCAATGCAAGCTTTAATATTTATTTGTCCCGTATAATTTATATTTCTAAAAAAACATTTATTTTCTAGGGGTACACCAAATATTACTGCTAGATGATACAAAATACAATGGATACTTATAAAAGATTATGTAGAGATAACTAAGGCTAAATTCATAGTTGAATCGAAACCGATATAAATAGGGCTGTGCCGATCATAACACCGATCCAATATTGCTTCAAAACCGATCCGATACCAATATTTATACTAATTTTTCCCCATTCCCCATTGAAACAAATGTAATTAAGAAATCAATATTTTTTATGCAAAAAATAATTATACATATAATTTAATTTTATTATTTCTATGATTGAGACTAATTAAAAAAATAAATATTTAATAATATATCCATTTTATGTTGGTACGAATTATAAAATTGTAATAATTAATATATAAAATTATAATAGATTTTTTAAATAAATATGAGTCTCTAGATTTTCTGGCAATAGCCTACGATATGGACTATCTATATCCCCTGCCGTACTGAAGGCAGACTGAGATGATTCCGCAGATAACGCATTTTGCAATTGTAAAATATTTCCATAATTCAGATACAATATTAAAAAAAATTCTCTTATTTAAAGTATAAATAATAAAATTGGCGTTATTTATTTAAAAAGATTTAAAATAAATAAAACTTTGGGTGTTCCTTTCTATTTTTATAAAAAAAAACTTTTAAAATACTATAAATCTATTTTTTAAAAAATAAAATTTAGAGGGTGTTGTGCATTTGCATTGTTTAAAAAAATATATTTAGAAAATATAAAAAGAAAAGTAAAAAATCTGATCGGATGTTTTTTACAGGTATCGGCCCGATCCGATATTTTTGGAAAAGGCTTAATATCGGTGCTGATCCGATATTTAATACACAGCCCTAGATATAATAGCTGAGCGATTTTAAAAATTTTATAGTAAGATCAATTTTTCTTTTTTATAATAAATAATTCTTTTATTAATATTATCATGAATAAAATGAAAGATAAAATAAATATTAATAAAGAAGAATTGATCTTATAAACAAATCTTAAAAATCGGATCAAATCTTATTACGAATCCAGCCTAAATGCAGCACAATTATATATCAATTCATTACTGCGAAAAATAAATCCGCTTATACAGTTATCGATTAGAGCCTTTCTAATATAGCGTAACTCCCTCCAACATATTATTCTTTGTCAGACAAATATTTAACTTAAAATATATTAGTAAATAAAAATTTCTGCGTAAAGAATGAACTATTCAACGTTCATATTATTTTTTATTTTAACGGATTAGATAGCGCGACCCCTAGCTGAAAAATAAAAAAAATTATTTAAATAACAATCGTAAATAAGTATTAATTTAATTAACGATAAAGCATAAAAATATCGAAAATTTAATTTGATTAAGAGATATTGTATATTTTATTTTGACGTCAGTATAGTCCAAGTTGTGATATCATGTTTTTATTTCCCACTTGTGCTATGAAGGGTTTTAAAACGTGTTAATAAAAGAGTAAAATTCTTGATTTTGGCTTAGCTTTAAAAAAATGTATATGCGTTCCCTTCCCCATCAGCGACGTCAATGATTATATGAGAAATCAGTATAAATATTTTAAAAGCTAATAAAAATACCTCTTCTCTGAATTTCTAGGACGGTCGCCATTGTAAAGGGTAAATTATCCCTATCATTGTAAGTTATCATATCCTCGAAAGAATCTTCACCGTCTTTATCATAGCCTTTTCTTTTATTCGAGTCAACAAAACGTTTCAATTCCGAATAAACTTGACATTGAATATCAGGGTACTTGGCCATAAAATATAAACCCCATCTCATAACGGTTTGAGTGGTTTCGGTGCCTCCTAAAAATACGTCCATTACGCTGATTATCAAGTCTAGGCCTGGAGTCGTTTTTTGAAATAAAATAATTTTTCGATTAAGATCTAAAACGTTTTAAAGCGTTGCTTAAAATCAGTAGAATAAAAATAAATCCCAATGAATTTTCCTGATTTCTTTTTTAAAAAAATTTAAATAGTTGTCCTAAATAGTGATTTTTAGATGAAAAAAAATTGGAATAGGTACACTTACCTTTCATTCAATTAGCGCAAATTCGCGGCGAAGAATACAAATTAAGAAGCGGATTTGTGCTAACTGAGAATGCAGGGTTAAGCGTATTTTAAAAATATCATCACTTTATGCCAAAATCTATAATTTAAAAAAAAAATAGTGTCCACATTAATCAAGTCAAGTAAGGACATGGCCTAAATCATTAAATTTTTTATAGCCTTAACAAAAAATCTAAAAAGAGATTGAAAATAGTATAAAACATCTTATCCAAAAAAACATACATTTTTTTCAAACCTGAAAAGCCTTCTTTAACATCACCGGACATCAAAAAGTTTTCAAATGACTTGTCAAAAAGATTATTATTATCCTGATTTTCCTGACACCTGACGTTTTTTCCCTTTTCATCAGCTGTAGATTCACGATTAAAAGGGTTTCTCATTTGAAAATCATGTTCTTCAATTAAGTTTCGGCATTTGGTGGAAGACTGTAGGTCAGATGTTTGGAAGTCATTATACTTAGTAAAAGTTATGTCATTTTTGATGGGCAATTCGTCGCCAGTAATAAGTTCAGCAAGCCGACCTTTCTCAATGAGATTCTCTATGACTTTTATAGGTTGTTCCGGGACAGTAAACTGAATACTTTGCTAAATATGTTTGTTTAAATAAAGTATTAATTATCTCTAATAGGCGTGGGATTGGTATATGGAGGTCAAGAGAATTCGGAATCTCTGAGGCCGCTATTTAAAAAATCTGATTTGACCAGAAGATACATGCTGAAAAATATTTCCGGTCAAATTATATTTTAAAGATTTTTAAATGGCGAAGTAGATTTTAGAGACTCTGAATCCCAATGGATTCCATGTAGCAATATGTACATATTTCGCATTTATAAAATAATTTCATAAAAAAGAATTAAATTTATAAAAAAAAATCTAAAAGAAAGTTTAACACATTTCATTTACTTCATTCAGATTTTTAAGCGCTGAATATGATAACATTTTGTCCAAATATATGTCAACAATATTTTGTGGACGAAAACAAATATCACCATCACCCCCACACAAAGTATCTTTGGAACATTTATAATAAGGAAAGGGTAAAAGTTATATGTAATCACTTTTTCTTTCTTCGAGACGTCCCCTGATACACTCTATAGAAAATTTTGAGATGCCATTGATATTCAAATATAATTCGTCGTAATCAAAAAATTTCTTTATTACAGAGTTTTCACGTAAAATGAAAGGCAGGAAGTTTAGCGGGGCCACCTTTTTACCTAATAAAATAAAATAGATGTAATTATTTTTTTTTAAAATATTATATTGGTAAAAAAGAATATTTTATTACCCTTTATAAATTATAATATATATTTATTGCAGTATAATAAAATTCAAATAGTTATATTAATATTATCAAAAATCTCTATTACTGTTTTTAGCATTAATGAAGGCCTTAATTAGTGTTGTTAATGTGCTTGGTGGTAAAATTTACGACCTAATTTTGTACTCAGATCTGCTGAGGATGAACCCAAAGTTTAGACCCGAGGTCCAAAGCTTCTTAAAAAGATAAAGGCTCAAATTTGATAGAAATTAATATAAATTAACGCCTTAGTGTTAACAGATTTTCCTCGACAAGTGCCTGAAGGTTGAGCCGTGTTAGCTTGAATTTAGCCATTACCCAATTATAGCAATTACACACACTATATAAAAAGTGTAAATTGAAGAATATATTTTGACTTCAGAATAGGCAGGACAAAATGACTCTTGTTTATAACCCCCTACCCCTCCCTAAATAAAACTATTATCCAAAAGTATTCTGAATATCCCATTTAAGCTCAATCTTGTCGAATTTAGAAACTAATGTTATCATTTTTTATGTCCAAAATACATTTTAAAATTAGAAAAAAATCAATACGTGTTTAAAAAATAGCGATAGTAATTTATTAAAGCATGCTGAAACACATTTTAAAGTTTAGATGGCCCGTCAACAGGTCTGTTGAAAGGATTTATATTTTGATTTAAATTCCAAAAAAAAGATAATAATTTCTAATATTAAATTAAAGAAAATTAAATTTTTTTTTATAAATTGCAAATAAGTAATTTTATTTATTTTTATATAGATGGAAGACTTTACAAAATTTCTTAGTTATAATGTAGACAATTATCTCTTGAACATTATTTTTTTTAAACTTTTCCATACAAACCTATTATATTCAGATTAAAATATTTTGTTTACAAAAATAAACCTGATAGAAAATGTTGAGAAAAATATTATTATTTTTAACAAAAATTTAACTTAAATTAAAACTACCAAGTTGTAGATATCCTATAAATCCCACAAAAGTTATGAAGACAAAGATAAACTAATAAAATATCAGCAGCAATTATTATATCTAGATATAAAACTATAACAATTATATATGTGAATTTAACATAGTCTGGAAGAGAAATAATGTTTAGGTCAAATTGACTCCAATAAAAGACCACAATTTGAACAAGTATTTAAATGGAAATGAGATTAATGTAGAATCAATTATAAACAAATCTTTAATCTATAATTAGAATGCATAATAAGATATAATTTTTTCTTAGTTTTCGTTTATCTGAACCCCAGGCAACCATGGGTCTAAACCACAGGTCTGGATTTAATACAACTAACCATTAACAACACTAGCCTTAAGCATGGTTCAATAAAGGTTTTACATGGAAAAATTTACCAAATACCTGCTATTCATCAAATAGCATTTGTCTATAAGTCTATGTTTTCAAATATCATTTTTTTTGTAAAATCCCTGAAATAATCTTTTAGATTAATGAGTGGGGGTGTAGGGGGAAAGAGGGGGTTTCTTTACACAGGTCCTTCCAGAGCCATACTGTTGTTTAATAAAATATTTTTTGGCATCAAAGGCTTCTGTGTAAATTGAAGTAAGAACTTATATAAAATAAATTATTCTACTACTCTGGACTCACAGCTAGCAGCAATTCGCAGTGAAGTGCAAAATATGATATCTTAACATATTAATAATCATTTTTATACCATGAATTTGTGCTAATTGTGATTGCAAGATCATGAGTACTAAGAACAATTTAGGGAAAGTTGTGAGGTGTTTGATTTGACATGGAATGACCCAGAGTATTTAAACATATCTCTTGAAGGTTATGGGGGGTCATGAATTAAGCTAATAATGCAGATGCATTAAAAAAAATCCATAATTAGTTTTTTTTATAAAACAATTTTTGGCAATATGAAATCTGAGCCAGAAAGGGAAGTTTTCTGTAACAATTCAAGATCAAATTAAACATTTGAAGCTTTATAATTTAATTATATTTTTAATAATTTGCTAATATTTTCTAAATATATTTTTTACAATTGTTAATTAACCACAATACAGGAAAAAACATGATCTTACATTCTATATGGTAAAAAAGAAGACATGGTAATGAAAAAGAATCTTTCAAAAATTTTTAAGAAAAAAATAAATTTAATAATATAAGCTTTAAAATTTTTTTTACCTATCAATTTAAAATTCTGACAAATCAGACCTAAAAAGTCTGTAATTTTTTTTTCATCATATTCATATCTTAGTCCAAATACCAAAAGGCTAACAATGTTGAAAAAGCAACCTTGTATTAAACCATGTGGGTCAAAGTCTTGATTATGCATCAGTGAAACAGCATTACATAAGTGCTTAACCTAAAATGATTACCTTAACTATTTGATAAAGTTGAGATAAACTTCTTTCATCATAACTATGTTAAATGCTTTATTTGATAATATATCTTTCATGGCAGTTGTCAAAAACTTTTTTTGATTCTTTCTATATTTCCCTTCAGAATGCAATAATCCTATTTAATATTAGACAAAGATATTATTAAAGTAAAATATTAAATTAGGCTTTCCACCTTACCATGTCCTTTATTTAGCAGCCTAAATAAGAATAAATCTGATCGTCCAGCAAAAATATTGCCATTTGTGATATATGCTTCTTTTACACATTCCCAATCATTCAAAACTATGGTTAATTTTGTCCCAAATTTAAAGGAAAATACATTACCATATTTGGGAGAAAGGTAATGAGTAAATTTAAGGTGAGGCTTTTCACCTAAAAATGGCAAATAGCCTATAAAAGGTAATCCAAATGGTCCAGGAGGATAAGAAATTTGAGATTTGTAATACTTATATGAAAACAAACATATTGTTATAAGAAAGGATATATAGAGTATAAAAAGAGGTACCATATAGATAAATAACTTAGGATAAACATATTATGAACGCCTTTATATATCTGCAAAAAATTGTGCTATGTAAATTATTATTATTTTTTTTAATTTTTAACAAATAAATATTTTAAAAAAGTTGTTTATTTTTTTATATGGAAAATGAACCGGTAATTTTAAAATTATTTTATATGAAAGATTTGATTTAGAACTAAAAGATTTTTCTAATCTAAAGCAATTCATGAGAAATTATGAAAAGAATATCTTATCGAATTAATATCACGTTCTAAGCCTCATGATAATCCGATATATAAATATAAAACAATCACATATAATTGCAAAAGAGGTCATTTTTTCAAATCCAGCTTAACTATCGTAAAAGAAAAGACAACTTTTAAACAAGGGTGCAATAGAAAAGTTATTTTCAAACTTAAACCTAATGGAAATGGATGTGACACACAATCATGTATTATATCCTTTTTTATAATTTTATCTAAATATTTATTATGGTTCTAAAACATTTATTCCAATTGTATATACCACAATTTATAACACAGAGTTGATACTTTTCAAATATATCTGCATATTCATATTTTACAAATATTCATGAAACATTATTAATCTAATAATTATTTTTATAGATATTGAAGAATTTAACATTCTCAAATATCTATTTAATCATGAATTAGGATTTTATTAAAATCCTTTGATACTATTAAAAATATAATATTTCATTATATAAATTAATCTTCATGCAATTTTGTCTTCATAATAATTTAATAACTAAAAAAAATTAATGATAATAAAGTAAATCACGATGTATATATCTTGATACACTAGAGTTGTCTTGATACTTTTCATATTTATTTAGATAGATGCATGATGGCCTATGCCAAGGTTTAATACAATTTTTTATTTTAATCATGTAAGGTGTAATATCAAAATAAAGTTACTAAATAATGATATTTTATATATAAAAGTAAAATATTTTTCTTAGCTTATTAAAACATGACAGTTTTCTATATTAAATCCTAAATTATGCTATCATTTTTTTTACATTATATTTTCTAAAGATAATATTGACTGAAAAATACTAAAATAAATTGCAATGGGCCTGGGAAAAATATGAGCATCAATGCCTTAGCAATATTCTTACACCACTGTAAAATCCAGGAAGGGCTTCAAATTTTGATCTCTGCAATAAATCTTTTCAAATATTTTTTAATTTTATACCTTTCCAAATTATGTTACCACTGATATTTACATTTATGGGATTTTATGTTTAAATCATCTTCAAAATTTTCTTTTGATAATATTAAGCGCCTAAAAAGTTTACCTTATTTTAATATTTATTATATTGTGTGATTCTTATATTATTTATAATGGTGATGGATTATTGCAAAAAACTATTCTATGAATCCTCCTTTGAATATAACTTTAAACAATATAATTTAGCATAAAGAATTATTTTTATTGTTAAAAATATTTAATGTTTGTAATTTATATATAAAATATAATATCATCATGTACACAAGAGTCTCTATTTTTTATTCTATATTTCAGAAATATAATTGAAAAAATTTATATAGAAATAAGATTTGGTATATAGAATACAATAATATATTATAATTGCAAATATATATATAGAAATAAAATTTGATATCTATAGAATACAATATAAATTATATAAATAAAATGTGTTTTATTCAGTTTTTAAAGTCTTGATCAAATTGTTTTCTAGAAGCCCTATTAGATTGTATTTGGTTCTAATATATTTTTAAATTTAATATAAAATTCTAAATATATAACTATTTGTTTAATTGGGTGGCTAAAAAATCTTTATAAGATTTTGTAGAGAAAATCCAATGTAGTCTAAATTTTTGGTTGCTTTGTTATATAAAACATAAAAGTAAAATGTTTACTATTTGGTAGCTTAATTTGAGTACCTAAAATATTTTGTGAAATATTTGAAGGCAATTCAAATGCTATTTTTATTTTATATTTTATAATGGTTATTGCCACTTTCAGGGTTTATCTTTTTTTTTATGTTAACTTGTTTTTAAAATAAATAATCAGAGACCTGCAGAGGTACCATTTGTACGGCTTGGCCCAGATTAAAAAATTTTTGGCCTGGCCCAGCCCGGATTTTTTTCAACCCCGCCTGGCCCAGGTTTAAAAATTTTAAGCCCAACCCGGCCCAAATATTTAAAAAAAAATTGTTTTAGGCCCAGCTCGCAATTTTTTAAAATTATATTCGACCTGCCATATACAAAAAATTTATTATTTCGTATTTTATATTTTTCAGCGAGTATTATCATTTAATAAGCAAGTATATTAGCTAATGTTGTTAAACGGCTCATTTTGAGCAATTTTTAAAAACAGCTAACTCAATATTTTCGCCAGGAAAATATTGACTAAGCCTCAAAATTTCGATACTATATGTCTAGACCTTTGCTCCTTCTATGAGCAAAATTTTCAGGCTTGCATAATATTTTTCTGGATAAAACACTGAGTTAGCCGTTTTATAAAATCGGCTTAAAACGAGCTGTTAACAACACTAATATTTTATTTTTTTAAAATTCTAAACAGATATTTAGTATATTACAAATTAATACTATAAAAAATTTGTGCAAAATTTTGAGAATATACTATGTATTTATAAAAAAAATAAAAATGATATTTTCATTAATAAAAAATATACATATATTATATAATAATGTATTTAATCCTTTGCGTATTTATTCCATGACAGGAAAATTATTATTATATTATGTAATAAATACTATGAGTGTTAGCTAGTGTTAACTTTCACCTAACATTATATTAATCATAACTATATATAATCATTACAACCATATCTAATAGACGAATATAATAATTCATGTTGTATAAATTTTAAAAAAATTTTCAGGCCCAGTTTGGGTATATTTAAAAAATTTAAAATATGGCTCCGCTCCCGGGCCGAGTCTTGCTGGGCTTAGGGCCGGGCCTGCAGGTCTGTGATAAATATATCAATTTTTTATTTAAGATATTTTAAAAAGTTTTTTCTACAAATTTTTATTTAAGATATTTAAAAAAGTTTTTTCTACAAAATTTTGTATTAGGGGTAAAATATACAAATTCTTAATTCCAATTATTCTCAGCATTTAAATATGGGAGAGGGAGGGGGTATGAGAATTTTACCTACATTTTTTTATTTAAGATATTAAAAAAGTTTTTTTATACAAAATTTTGAATTAGGGGTAAAATATAGGAATTTTTAATTCCAATTATTCTCAGCTTTTATATATGGAAGAGAGGGTGTGGGAGAATTTTGCCAACAAATTTAATATTTATTTAAAATATTTTAAAATACTATATTTCGTGTATAAATTTTAATACTATATTTAATTGCATCATTCAACTATATTTAAAAAAATTACTTAAACTTCAAAGATGAGGTCTATTTCACCCCTAATACAAAATTTTAGATTATTATTTGTTTCCAGAAAAATGTTATGCTAATTTCTTTGGAGTTGCTTAAATTTTATTTTATGAGATCTTCCCTTGATTTTAGCATTATAATGAAAAATAAATTTTAAATCTTTAAAAACTTTGTAGGCATTTAGTAATTTTTCTTAAGTTGCTAAATATATTTTTATTTATGGTATATTTCTCTAATTATAGTATCATCATCAAAAAAAATTTAAAAACTATTTTAAAATATCTTAAATAAAAAATTAAATTTGTAGGCACTGAATATCTTAAATAAAAATTTGTAGAAAAAACATTTTTAAAATAGCTTAAATAAAAAATTGATATATTTATTTTAAAAAAAAAATAACATAAAAAAAATAATATACCCCCCAAAAGTGGCAATAACCTTAATAAAAATGAAAACACAAAATATACTAGCTGGAAGAGTTTTTAACTTAGGGCCTAAATTTTTAGGTATATTTTGAAAATGATATTGGGAATATAAATTTGTTGCTATTTTTTTGTTATATTAATTATAGAAAAGTAAAATGTTTAATATTTGGTTAATTTGATTGCCTATTTGAAATATTTTGAGTTGAAGGCAATTGGATTGCTAGTGTTTTTTAAGAATCAATAAATAAACATTTAATTTTTAGTCATACCATATAGTTGAGTGTTTTGATTATTGGAAGCTAGTAAGTAGTCACATTTTAATTATCGGGAGGTAGGTTAATTGTTTAAGTCATCTTTTGATTAGCTTGGGGAAAATATTTTTTTAAAATAGATGTATATTATAATATCATTTTCAATACTTGCTAATAAGTACATTTGTGAAATATATATAATATTTAATACACATTTTTTGGGCCTTTTATATATTGATTTATCCTTGTTTGTATTTTATGGGGATAATGTTTTTCATTATATTCTTATCCCATTCTTGTAAAACTATTGAATATTTATCTGAAATTAATCCATCTGGAGAAGAATAATGAGCTGCTGATAATAGATCTACAATAAATAAAACATTTCAAATTGGATATAACATTTACTTGAAATTCTATGAATATAGGAGTAATCACTAATGAATGGCCTTCAAAATTTGACCTATAATCATTCATTAGAGAAAAATAAAATGGTTGGTATAATAACTTGTTTTGGCAATAGGAGAAGAATCTCCAGTGTTGTCTTAAATTTGAAAATTAGAAACAATGATTGGTATAATAACATGTTTCAGCAATAGCAGTAGAATACGTGATAGCTATATTTTGACCTATAATATATGATCAATAAATTTAAAATCTTGTTAAAATGAGTAATTATTTTATATAATCTTACAGCAAAATTGAGGGCAACATAAGTTAAATGATTGTCTAATAAATTGGTCCTTCTTTATTTGTGCTTGTTGATAAGCTCCTAACATCTATAAAAAATTTAAAACAATTATCAGATTAATAAAGATGAACTTAAAATTTAACAGTACTATCATACATAGATTATGATTTAATATAATATTAATTAATCATTCAAAAAGAATATTAAAATAAATATCAATTATAAAAGTTCACCTTTAATAACAGAAACATACAGAGGTGAAATCTTGAGAAATATTGTATGACATGTATACATTTAACCAGAGTTGTTAATTTAAGAATCACTTATAGTAAACCTTATTTCATAATGGATGGCCAGAAAATTTTTAAACTATTTATTTTGACAATAAGCTCACCTTATATAAATATTTTAAGATATGGATGTGTAGATATATTTTAAAAGTATCAACTCTAGTTTTTTGAAATAAATGTTTTAAAACCATTAATATATTTAGATAAAATTTTAAAACAAGATATTATACCCAATTCATGATTGTGGGTTTTATCTAACTTATCTAACACAAATATGTTTTCATTTGGTTTAAGTTTGAATATAACTTTACTTTTGCAAACTTATTTAAAGGTTTTCTTTTCTCTTACACCTGTTGAGCTAGATTTATAAGTATGACCTCCTCATTTGCAATTATTTTTATATTTATACATTGGATTATCATGAGGCTTAGAACACAATATATAAATGTATTCTTCTCATAATTGCTCATGAATTGTCTTCTAGAAAAATCTTTTTCTAAAAAAATATATAAATTTATTTAATTATAATTTATCTTAATTTCAATTAAATATTAAAAGAAAGCATCATATAAAATAAAATTACCATTTCATTTTCCATTAAATAAAAAAAAAACTTTCATGTTTTTTATATTTTTTTTTTCAAAATAATTTTGCCAGATGTTTATTTTATACTTATTTATAGTGCTGTGAAGGTTACTGCAAAAAAGAAACGCGTCACCGTTACTCGTTACCTTGAATTCATAGTGGCGCGATTGCGATTTAGTAGCGATATATAAAAAATAGTAAATATTTATGGCATATATAGTTACAGATCAAAAGCTAGTCGCCGCGATTTTTTTAAAATTAAATCATTTGGTATTTGCCGCGTAATTTTGAAATATTTTATCGTTAAATACCACCTTTGGTGAATATAGCACAAAATATTTTATATTTGGTACTATTTTTAAATTATTTGAAATGAATTCAAAATCCATAGCTAGAAGATATATAACAAATGAATCAAGTTAAAATCATGTTTTAAATTATAATCTTTTTATAGAAAATAGATTAAATTGCTTGTATTCATTCGTTAAAGGATACGAATGCTTTAATAATAAGCATAATAACATATAAAATTATTATATAAAAAACAAAATATGGAGTATATTAGCTCAGGAGTATTATATGCCTGGTAAAAATTGCTCATATATAATTATATTTATATACATCCTTTCTTAAATCTCTTTGGAAATATTTGAGATATTGTCTCGAGAGAAATTAAGCTGAACAAACTTAAAAATAGATCAGGGGCTGGTCATCCATCTCATTGCCATACTATCAAGATATGCTATTCTTATTAGATACTATGACACCAAGGTTACAAAAATTGTCTTTAAATATTGAAGGAGAAAGTATTCCAATAGATGTAATGAGATGTTTAATAAAATAACAGGGGAGATAAATGAATGTGAAATATACCATTTGAATATTCATTTCTTTTAAAATTATATATATTTAAAATAACATGTAAACTATTTGTAAAATAAAATTTATATAAAAACTATATTAAATAAAATAATAATTAAACATTTAATTAGGTATGATCAAAGGGGCTTATAGACCCATGTATAGATATAGCTAAAAATGTCTTTACAGATAAACGAGGAAATTATACTGGCAGATTTCAATTGGTATACTCTCTCAAAGGTAGAAGCCTTCTTTTGGGTCATCTGTGATTTAGCGTAACCTTTGCCCTATTGCTTTGAATAATTTTAGGGCTTGGGGTCCAAATGGTCCACAAGTATCTGAGACCGGAACAATCAAAACATTATTAAGGTTGCTATATTTATTTGTTTTTGTGTTTTCTTCTTGATAGAGTTGGAAGAAAAAGATCTGGCAAAAAGATCCACGCAAGTATAATCCAAGGCAAGAGGTAGACCTTGGTTCCAAAGGACTAGCGTCGGGCCATCTGGTCTGGTTTGATTGTCGGGGCTGCGGCCGGATGTTTCTGTGGAGGAAATATTTGAGAATTTCAAGGTTCTGTTGATAATTGAATTGATAGCATAGTGTCTAGGTAATCTGCCTTCTGAGAAACGACATTGAGGGGGGTGGTGTCCAAGACTATTGATGTGGGTTTTACATAGGACGCATGATGTAGGTGTTACGATTTCACATCCTAGGCGAAGGCTTATGCCTATTCTGAGTTCTTCGTTGGTTAATAACAAACATAGATTAGAACTAGGTACAGTTTCTAACCATTCATATCCTAGATAGCATATGGGTGAAGTTGGAATTATTGGATCTGGCAGAGGGGTCATATTATTGTCATTATGTATAATTGGGTTAGGGTTTTGGTGGAGAAAGAGCGATGGAGATTTTCTTTGAATAGCTTTGAAGTGTAAGTAATCAACGCATCAATGGAAAGTTCCAGTCTCTTTGCCTTAGTGAATCTGGATATGAGCCATTTGGGCCATTTTTGCTCCAGAGGTCTAGTGCTGCCGTTCGATGTGGGTCGATATACAAGTCTCCCAGTGTGTGTCGAAATTTAGCCACTGAGGACAGAAAAGATGAAATGCTTAGGGATATGGGGGATTGTATGCCTATACCGCCTAGCTTTGGTGGAAGAGCGGCTTGCATCCAGGAGGATGATGAAAATTTGATATTTAATATGGATTCGAGAGTATTTTTTAAGTGGACTTCCGATAGCGGACCGGCATTCAGCAATGCAGAATTCGCAAGGTTTTGTAAAGAAAATGAGATCAAACATATTTTAGCTCCTCCATATCACCCGAGCTTCAATGGATAGGGTTAGCGAATTGTTGGAGTGGTGAAGACAAAGTATGGAAAAGAAGAAATAAGGGGTGGTATGTCTATATTATAATTTTCCGATGTCCTCACTATGTCATCGCTACGTCATATCATTGGTACGTATTTTTATTTATTTTATTTGTTTATTTTATTTATTTATTTTATACAAACAGATGATCCTATAACTTAAGTTTTCTATGCAACTGTAGGAGGCCATATTAAAATCAATTATCAAAGTAATACATTATTTACTAAATATTACAAATTAGGAGTTAACTCATAGATTAATTGGTAAATCAGAGATTTCTCATTCATTAATTATAAATTTAATATCTTTAGGCTAGGAAATTTTTTTCAATGCAACTATAGGAGGCCATATTAAAACCAATTGTCAAAGTAATACATTATTTACTAAATATTACAAATTATTAAAATATTTCCCAAAATTAATATTGGCTTGGTTTTAAAAATTATTAGGGATTGAGGTGGGCTTGAGACAGCGTCTACATGACAAAATTTTCACTGGATGCAAACCCCATTTAAAAACCTTTGCCTACCCCCCTAAAAAATTCTTTCAACCTTCGGCGGCGATGTTTTTCCATTATTATTTCCACTTTTTTAATTATAAGGATAATTTTTTCAGAGAATTTATAAAGGATAACTTAAATTAATCTATCTCTACTACCAACTATCAATATTTTGTAAATATAAAGGATTTATTTTTTAGATAATAAATTCAAATTAAAACCTCCATTATTTACAATGAATTCATTATTATAGCATTATGAGCTTGCTGAAATATCTAAACAAAAGGATAGCAGAATTGGAAAACAATGTGTATGAGAGTTTGCAATATATAGATTTGGTCGATGAATTGTATTATAATAGTTCTATAATAAAAGTATTAATTTTTACAGCAATAAATTTGTCCTATTTCTTCTCAAATTTAATAGATAACCTCCCAAAAAATTTTATACCCTCATTAAAGCCACCTATCCCCTACCCTCCTCAAAAAAATAGGATGCAAACTGTTCCTACCCCTCCAGCTCAATTAGACGCTGGCTTGAGAAAATCTTTTTAAATTATTAAGATCTTGGATGCTTGGAAATTTTTTCCAAATATTGTAGGCTTGAACCTATATTGGGATTTTTTAATATTAAATGTTAGTCTTATTTTAATATTTTTATAAAGAATTATCTTTTACCTGTAGACTAATTGGTAAATCAGAGAGTTCCCCTTCATTAATTATAAATTTAATATCTCTAGGCTTCAGAAAACTTTTTCAAAATTATTATGGGTTGGACTTAGTGTTGTTAATCGGCTTAGCCGAGTCGGCTCGAACAGAGCTCACCCAAATTTTGGGTCGTTTTTTTCGACTCTAACTCAAAGTTTTGGTCGTTTTTTACGACTTCGACCCGAGTTCAAGCCGAAAAAAACGACTTCGACCCAAAATATGGGTCGTTTTTTTCGACTCCGACCCAAGTCCAAGCCGAAAAAAACGACCTCGACCCAAAATATGGGTCGTTTTTTACGACTCCGACTCAAAATTTGGGTTGTATTTTTCGACTCAAACTTGAAATTTGGGTCGTATTTTTCGACTCAAACTTGAAGTTTGGGTCATATTTTTCGACTCAAACTTGAAGTCTAGATCGTATTTTTTGACTCAAACTTGAAGTTTAGATCGTATTTTTTGACTCAAACTTGAAGTTTAGATCGTATTTTTTGACTCAAACTTGAAGTTTAGATCGTATTTTTTGACTCAAACTTGAAGTTTAGATCGTATTTTTCGACTCCAACTCAAAGTTTGGGTCGTTTTTCTGACTCAGACTCAAACATCGGGTCGTTTTATTCAATCCGACCCAAAATATGGATCTTTTTTTTTAAAGACGACTTAAAGTTAGGGTTGCTTTTTTTCACCCTTAACCCAATATCTAGATCATTTTTTTGACCAAAAGTCAAATAACATTTAGTATATATTAATATTATAGGCGGAAAAGTTACTTAAAGCTTCTTTAAATTATAATGCTCTGGATTAACTATTCATCATAGTTATTTTTTAAAATTTTTAAGTGAAGATGCACCATAGAAAAGAATCATTTGTT